GGGGGGGGGAGGCGTGACAAAATGTTAGTATACAACAACTGGTTTTCTCAAGATACATGTATCACATGTCTGGTGAATAGCAAGGAAGTTATGTTCTGGACATAAAACAAACAGTTATAACTTTTTAAACAATAGGTTCAAGTCGTGTTCACTCTGCCTTCCTTACCTATATACGAATAGCTATGAAGTAATGCTCTTAATAGATAAATAAACTTCGTATAAAGAGAATGAACAAGGAAACTGTCTCTATATAACAGGACAGAATACCCCATTTTGTCATAGCAATCCTACAGCACAAATAAAGTCGGGATATATATTTATGTAATAATTTGAATACAGCTTTATATGTTAATAAATGTAGGGAAGCCATTTCCTGGTACACGGACAAGTAAAGGGACGAACAGAGTAGGATATGCCACAATGTTACCCGTCATGGATGAAAACAACACGATTTACAAGTTTTCTTCCGTGTGACTTCACTACTTTCCTCTGCACATGTTTAATATACTAGTTCATCAATCAGTAAACACAACACACAAGGAAATATTAAAGCTTTGAAATTATCTGTTTTTTTGTGTGCAGCATTTCTGCTCTGGCGTTATTTTCACACGGTGTGGGGTTATTTCGTTATTTCGCTTTGGCGGGTTTTCGTCTTTTCATTATTTCTTTATTTCGCTTGGCGTTATTTCGCGGGCGACAAAGCGAAACGACGAAATGTCATTTATAAGCCACCATACAATTCACTAGTAATAGATCAATTATATGACATACTAGTTTTTTGCAATGTACATGTTAAGTACTTTGTACTAAATATCGCGTCTATAGTTCGCGTAAAGCATACGTCCAAGTGCCGACTATCCATCTTGTTTTTTTGCATGTCTATATATACATTGTATATATATATATATATATAAATATATATAAACATACAGGTTTTGTATACTACACCTATCTTCTGCAGATGACAAAGAGGAAAAACAAATATTTGCGCCGCAAAAAGGACATGAAAGTCAGTCAACCATATCACCACACGACAGTAGCCCTGCAGTAGAGGTAAGCAGCCGTCGCTACGCAATCAACACTTTCCCGTAAAAATACGTCCCAGAATACATCTTCCCCTACCTCGAAACGCTTTTATGATCTCCTTTAGCAGGCTATGTATTAAACAACTTCGACATAACGGATTCCGCCATCGTTCAGTGTGCTTGACATACAGTAGTGTTCTATGAAAAGAATGGTACAATTGATGTATGGAAGAAAACCTAAGTATGAATCACCATAAAAGAAGATCTGAAATAAATCCGAAATGAAAGCAAATGCTAAAAAAGTCAGATACGCCTTCACGCCATTTTTAATTCTTTATTTTCATCGAGTTTTTAGTGTTGTACCTATATTTTCCCGTGTGTATTGACCTTGTTGTACATGTTATGTCAGTGTGTGTATTGACATTGTTGTACATGTTATGTCAGTATGTGTATTGACCTTGTTGTACATGTTATGTCAGTATGTGTATTGACCCTGTTGTACATGCTATGTCAGTATGTGTATTGACCCTGTTGTACGTGTTATGTCAGTATGTGTATTGACCCTGTTTTACATGTTATGTCAGTATGTGTATTGACCATGTTGTACATGTTATGTCAGTATGTGTATTGAACCTGTTGTACATGTTATGTCAGTATGTGTATTGAACCTGTTGTACATGTTATGTCAGTATGTGTATTGACCATGTTGTACATGTTATGTCAGTATGTGTATTGACCCTGTTGTACATGTTTTGTCAGTATGTGTTGACACTCTTGTATAGTTTATTCTTTTGTGTTCACACTTGATTCATTTTTATTTATTTTTTTAATTTAATTTTTTTATTTTCAAACATTTTCAGAACATGTACATTATACAGAACATCACATCAACACATATCCACACATTCACACATATCTACTATTGAAATTATCAGCAACCTCATCCTCCTCATCATCCTCATCATCTGATGCTGATTTTATACAATCACCAAGACACATTCAATTTTCACACACTTTCACACATAGAATAGACAAAACAAATGGACAAAGAGCACTGAGAGAGAGAGAGAGAGAGAGAGAGAGAGTTTTTTAAAGTAGAATAACAACTAATAACTTAATATAAATAGTCATAATACTCAGGGTTAGTTGAGGTCAAGCTCTACTAATTTTAACCATTTTTCCCATTCAGAAGTAAATCTTCTAAGGCCTTGTTCCCCTTTACCACGAGCAATATATTTCTGAACCTTATAGTAATCTTTAATCGAATTGACTAAAGCCGTCACATTAAGTGACTTATGAAAACATCTGGTTTTGTATATATATTGTTTAATGAACAGAGTAATTTCATTATCAATTCTGGTATAAATTCCAGTTTGGTTGATAAAACCAAAGATCATTGATTCTTTATTTAGTGAGAAAGGAATAGTGAGAGCACTTAAAAGACTTTCAAAATTGCTCAGAAATTTTTGTACTTCCCTGCATTCCCATAAAACGTGGGTAATTGTCTCCCTTTCTATGATACAAAAAACACAGTGTGGGTTATTTACAAGTCCAATTTTGCATAAATAAGAATTGGTTGTTAAAATATAATGATTAATTCTAAATTGCAACCATTGCAATTTTGTATTTTTTGTAACCCTGAAAGGAATAGCATATATTTTCCCCCAAGTTTCCTGATTATAGTCGAATATAGTTCCCCATTTTGTTTGAGCAGTTATTGATGCATTATTTCTGATAAGTATATTATAGAAGTCTTGAGAACCTTTTTTCTTCTTTAAAATTATTACAAGATGTAACGGTATAATTGGGTATATCACATTTTTGTTTGGCAAATTAAGTTGTTTCAGATAATTCTTTATGCTTGTTATCAAGCCATGATATTCTAGATAATTAGTTATTGTACCATGTAGATCACAAAATTCCTTAAAAGACAAGAAAGAGTAGTCTGTGTTGTTTTTCAACAAATCATTAATTATCATAATCCCGTTTTTAAACCACTTACTATAAAAAACAACTTTATTACCAACAGAAATATTTTTGTTATACCATAAGGGTGTCTTAAGTAGGGCAAAATTCTCATTTTTAAACAGCTCCTCTTTTGCTCTTAATTTATACCATGCCCTAAACACATCTTTCCAAAACACATTTTTGCAATTTCCTTGAACTTTATTAAGGTACTCGTTTCCTGAGTTAGCCAAGATATGAGGATTTACACAAGATTTTAAAATGCTTACCCATTTACC